AGACAATGTACATCTTCTGGTCTCAGAGCAAGCTCCCTTCAGCCATTCAAATACTTCTGAATTTTGCCACATCTGAGTATCACCAGAACACCATACCTTGTAATCCTCAAGTTCTGAGTGAGGGGGCTTAACTTGGTGCGACCAACTTCAACCTCAACATGACTGATCATATCAATTGTGTAAACTCTAAAAGGAGTAGCGTTGTTGTTGTTTCATTTGTTCACAACCAAATCCCCGTCATGGGTAATAATGGTTGACATATAAACACTCAAGAAATATTTATGCAGTGAGTCAAATCAAGTATTTTAATATGCTAACTTTATATTTTAAATATACAAAAAGTTCTTAACTATTAAAATAATAACAAATGCTTTTTTTTTTTTCCATATCCCAGTGTCATGAGTAACACCTTTGAAGGACCCTTGTGATGAAATATTGCTTAGGAATCAAGTATTGAGGTGTCAGTGTCCTGTGGGGGGGTGCATTTTAACAGATACTCTTCTATTCTCTCTCTACTTCTCTCTCACTCTCCCATGCTCTCACTTTCCACCATCTCCTCTCTCTCTCTCCATTATAAATATGGTATCATCCAGTGTCTACCCTGAAGAAAGACTAACAGAATTTGGATAGATATACTACCTAAAACAAAGTAAGCCTTGTTAAGCCAATATGTCCTTTTTTTTTTTTTTTTTTAACATAGCTGAGAAGGTACTTTGAAACATATCAAGAAACTTAATTCAATATAGTGTGGCAATAATAGTTACCCTAAGGAAAATGTACCAGAAAAAATCAATTTAAAAGCCAATTCACTGTTTGACCTTAGTGAATTCATTTGACCTTCATTGCAACCAGTTAAAAGATTGGTAGGAAATGATCAAGTTCAAGTGGTACCTTCCCTCCATCTAAAAGCCTAAAGTCCCCTACACTGGGCTGTAACTATGAAGTTTGTACTTTTGTAGGGAATATACCGCCTCTTTGGTGTTAAATATGTGAATCTAAGTTAAATGGATTAATTCCTTTCATGGTACATGATACAGCATAGTGTTTGCAAAGTATCAAACTGACAAAAAGTAATTTAAATAAGAGGCTGTGTTGCATTTGTTTTGGAATCAGGGAAGCCTGGCTTGAGTTTCCAGGATCTGTAACTACTATATGTATAAGTTTAGAAAACTTTTGTAAACTTCAATTACTTTAGGTAGAAAATGAAGATAATCGGGCGCGTGGGTGGCTCAGTTGGTTAAGCGACTGCCTTTGGCTCAGGTCATGATCCTGGAGTCCCGGGATCGAGTCCCGCATTGGGCTCCCGGCTCGGCGGGGAGCCTGCTTCTCCCTCTGACCCTATCCCCTCTCATGCTGTTTCTTTCTCTGTCTCTCTCTCAAATAAATAAATAAAATCTTTATAGAAAATGAAGATAATCATAGAGTTGAGGTAAAAATTAAGTAAAACATATTAAAAACATTTCAGTGTCTAGCATGGAATAAACCATAAATCAGTCATTATCAGTACCATTATTGGTGATATTCCTATTATGATAAATTTTAAACTTAAAGTTAGTAATGACATAGGGCATCACTGTATGCATTTTGTGACTTAAATCATTCCTGACTGCTTTTATTTCATGTCCTAATCTTTTTTTTTTCCTTCTTATAGTTCTCACACATTGCTAACACAGGTTATCTTGCTATATTTTATGCATGAATAAAAGCAGTTTTAATTTATTTTGCAACAAAAGAGAATTTAAATAAATATCTAAATGGGTAGATACAAATCATAACTATATAAATAATTACATATTTACAGTAATCTTGGCCTATGAATTATAAAATGTTACAAGATCTCATTAATTCCTGTTTTATGATGATGGAAGAGAGGAAGGAGGAGTAGACAGCGTGCATAGCCTTTGGCCTGTTACTGTCTACAAAGTGGTAGGTGTACAGGAGGCCTTCAATGAGTGTTTGTTGAATAAATCTGTAAATGAAGCCAGCGAATATTATTTAATACTTTCATGTGCAGAGTAATGGGCCAGGCACCTTGGGGAATAAAGGATTTACAACTAGCAAACCTAGCTCCCCTTTCTGAAACTTACCATATAGTAGTAGAAGACAAACTCTAAAAATAAATAAATAAATAAATAAATAAATAAATAAATAAATATTAGAAACAGATGGCATTTTAATGGAGATTCAAACACAGCACAGTGTGTTTGTATGTGCTAGGGGTGGAAATGGATTTTTGAGTGGCAGACATCAATTCCAATCTGAGGGATATCTGACAGATGCCTAGTACTATTACTAACAATGAAGATTCTGAGTAGCACCCAGACACTAATTTCTAAGCAATGTCTAGAATAATTTTTCATTCAATTATGGGCTACCTGGGCAAAGGAACGCTATATGCAGTCAACACCATAGTTATAAAGACACACGCAACACCCCCAAGCTGCTCTAGCATAATCCTAGGGCACCTGGGTGTCTCAGTCGCTTAACGGTCCAACTCTTGATTTTGGTTCAGGTCATGACCTCAGGGTCATGAGATTAAGCCCTGCATCGGGCTCTGTGCTAATGTGGAGTCTGCTAAGATTCTCCCTCTCCTTCTCCTTCTGCCCTTCCCCAACCCCCAGCCTCGCTCTCTTCCTCAAAAAAAAAAAATTTTTTTTTAATAACTAAATAAGTAAAAAACAATGTAACCCTGTTCTCATAGAATATTGACCGCTTCAGAGGACAGATGGGTACCCAATCACACAGAATTGATTCAACCAAAAGCTGAAACTTTCTTCCCACACTAGCACGGTTTGCCATGAGGTGCCTATAAATAACTGTGGAGTAAGGATATGAAACAATGCATTTTTGTATTTAGTCCTGTGGATAAAACAGTGTTTCTGCTGAACATGACACAATCTCCAATGTGTGAGACACAGGTGAAGGTGATTCTCTAATATAGTTTTCTTGGTACCAACTTCAGATTCTAATCATATGGGAGGTTGTAGGGAAGGAAGCAGAAAGGATAAAAAGAAGAGGAGGAGGAGATTGTGAAGGAGGAGAAGGAAAAGCTGTCCAGTCCTGAAACCCAAGCTGATAAAATCAGAATCTGTAGGAGTGGGGTCCAGGCATCAGTAATAGATAAAATAGCCTGAGAGGAATATGATGTTCTGCCATGGTTGAAAACCAAACCAGGGCAAGGATCAGGGACAATGCTTCTCAAACCTTATTGAGCGTAAGAATCATCTGCATGGTTTGCTGAAACAGATCCATGAGCTCCAGCCCCAAAGAGTCACGTGTCTTGGCTCCAAAGATCCTTCCAGGATGGAGCTTAAGGTTTTGCATTTCTAACCAGTCTCAAGATAATTCGATGTTGTCCACCTGTGAAGTACCATCTGAGTATCAGTGCTCAAGAGTATGGTACCAAAGGCTCCTTGAAAATAGGCAGAAAAGCGAGTCACCTAGGAGTTGTTTGTCGCTCAGTAGATGGTCTATGGACAGGCAGCACCAGCATCTCCTGGGATCTTCTAGAGATGCCAAATCTCAGACTCTGATGAATCAGAACTTGTATGTTGTTACCACGATCTGCAGGTGATAGGCATTTCGTTAAAGTTTGAGAAGTACTTCTCAAATTCTCAATTTTGACCCCTTTGGAGTCACTTGAGCATTTGCAAAATCTCACAAGGCCTGTGACTAACCCCAGGAGGCTTTGTGGACAGGAGGAGTTTTTAGAAATTGCCAGCAGGGCTCTTCTGTGCAGAAAAGTTTGAGAAGCACAACTCTAGAGGACATGATTTGAGGTGATATTGTACAAATTTTTCCATAAACTTCTCTTTTTCCAATATCCTAGTCTGTCACATTTTATTAATAGATATTCATTTGTACATGTTAATAAAAATCCTCTCAAATACTAATGGCCATCGGAGGATGGCCATTGTTTTTTCAGTCATTCCCATCTTAGTGTTAACATGATTAGATTCTGAGATCAAAAAGCTGGGAACAAGTGAGTCTTACTGGGAACTGGGAGAAGAGAAGAGATGATATGGATTAGAAGCATTGTACCTGATCATTGCCCTGGTTTGGTTTTCAACCATGGCAGAACATTATATTCCTCTCAGGCTATTTTATCTATTGCTGATGCCTGGGCCCCACTCCTACATCTTATCATGAGCTGAGATGGATGGAAGCATGAAACATTGACTATGTGGAATGTGATTATTTCTTGTTCAACCCAGAAGTAGAGTGCCCACAGAGCACTGAGTGGCTGGAGGAGGGGCTAAATGGTGGGAATAAATTGGATTTCTCTTAAGAAATGCCCATGAAAAGAATTTGAGGAATTATAAAATTATAAGAAATTACACTGAAATCGGGCATGTGGCAGAAGATGTAAGTGGTGATGAAGTAGCCATTAGAAACCATTACTGGAGACTCTATTATCACACATGCACTTTTTTTGTGAGCTGGCTGAGCTCCAGAACCTCGTTTTATATATTTCAAGTGCTCAATGATGTTTTGGTTATGGATACCCCAGTAATGTTATCCATACTAACTTGCTCCCTATTTAAACTGGATCAATTCCAGATCAGTTCCAGAGGTATGACTGAATAAATGAACATGGCAAATACCCACCCAATAAACATTTCGTCTGCATACACAGGTCTAAGATGGCTGGATTTTTTTGCTTTCCTTTAATGCCTCCAGAATACTTGAGATACATGCTGAGTCATTTAATTGGAATTAGGAGCATATTGAAGAAAGAAAAGTGTCACGTTTCCTCGTATTTAGTGGCTCATCTGTTTAGGGCAGAAGCCAAGTGGTGATTGAGGACAACTGAGGGTCACATAACAAAATTGAAGCATCCAGGTCCTCGCTATTCACCCGTGCGTGTCTGCTACAATACACGTCATGTCAGAGATCACTTCCGAAGTTGAAACGTGTGTGCCTTTCTCTGAAAGGTTCTTACTAATCTTGTTTCTTAGCGAATAAATACAGCAACGGCAAAAGTCAACTAATTTAAACTATTGCTTTTATTATAATTACACGGGAGCACAAATAAATAAGCACAAAAGTATTGTAAAATATTGCCAATGCACTAAAGAAAACAAATTGTTTTCGAACAACATCTGGTTACTTCAGTAGTATCAAAGTACATTTATAATTACATATTACCTAAAAAAATCAAGTACAAAAATTAAGAGAAATTAAAACATCAGTGTTTACATTATTATGTATATAGAAATGGCTAACAACACGTGAATAGAGAAATCTGTTAGCTAATGCTTATTTGCACAAATTTTCAGGCACATGCCTGACATTTTTAATGAGTTATGAAAAATGTAATATGACATTCAGATTCTTAGATACGGTAAACATATTATGTTGGAATGGATGTTAAATGGTTTCTTTTAAAAACCCTGTCTTTTAAAAATGTAGTGCCATTATCCACTAAAAAACATATTATTTTATATCATTTCTTCAATAGCTATTTGTTTTAATTTCTTGAAAAGAGCAAGAAAGTAAACATACAATTGCTAAATACGTAAACACATTTTTAGTGCAAGATAACAAGACCTGTGACTTTACTGTGCTTTGTTTTTTATAATCACAGTGCACTTTACACCAATTGCTACACTATAAATGTTAACTCAAGGAGTTCCCAACAAAAGAAGTGCATACTAAACATTTTCATATATATTATATACAGTATGTATACTGTATGTGGGTGTATACACATGTAAATGTGGATGTTTTTAGGGTGGGCAACCCAGTCATATTTGGGAACAATTGAACACTTCAAAAAGATCTTCATCTATATTTGATTGAGATTAAATCCAACATTATTTCTGTAAAGATGTTTCCCCTTAAATTTGAAACTTTGTAATATTTAAAGGGAAATGTAATCAGGATTTCTTTTTTTCAGGTTACACACATTTTGCTACAATGTAATTGACCCAAATATCAAAGGGTTTTAAATCAATCCAAACAACAAGCCACAATGTTCAAGTCCAACATGGCAAACGTGTTATCCTTTTACTGAGTTACATAGACAGCAGTACATATGCTATATGTGTACATATAGAGTCTTATACATAAACATATTTTATACTTAGACATTAACTTCAATATGTTTTAGTATTTTATTTTGACTGTACACTTGATCTGGAAAAAAAGAGAGAATACCATATATAAACACATAAGAGATGTCAAACACGAGATATTGTATAACTGCTTAGAAATAATTGGCTTTGTTTTGAAATTTTAATGATTGCATAATTAAGCTCCTTGAAGGCAGGGACCATATCTTTTTGAATATTTAATTCCAATGCTTCACAGAATTTTGAAAAACAACTAATAGATAAGTTTCTCAACAATGAACTGTTAATAATAAATTAATAAATTGTCCACATTCTACAATTAGCTATCTATTCTCCCATTGAGGGAAGATGTAGTGAGTTAATCTTAAATATTATAGGTACTGTTTTTCTTCAGTTCCATTTAAATTGGGGGCACAATGAAGTAGGATTTGTTATTCTATTGTACTTCTATTCCTTTGAAAGGGTAAACTGTCTCTCATCTCAGATTACCTACTGCTTAAATCACAGGAATTTTTTTTTTTTTTTAATTTCATAGGTAGCCATAACTAGCTTACAAGCTCTTTTCTATTTTAGGGAAGTGAATCACTTTAACATATAAGTGATTAAAATTGCATTGTTAATGTGCATTGTTCTGATGTTTTATTTAGTTAGTTAAAACACTAACCTGAAAGTGTTTAGTTTTATTGACTTGATTCCTAAATTTGCTCAGAGAGTCAAATCAAATTATATGTGGGGATGAGGCCTAAGCCAGAGTGTAGTAAGAAAAATGTTTCTCTATTCTCTAGAAGCATTCAAGAAAACGATTTGGAACCTCCATGTCTGAAGTCCCAGTGTCATGATTTTGAAAAGGGAAGTTGTATCTCCTTGTATCCAGACAATTTCCATATATTGGAATGTGTATATTCTTTAAAATTACAAAGGTGAACCTCTTAATATTTTGTTTTGCTTCACTTTCCCAAATATTTTGTATGGGTGATCATTAACCTTCACTTACACAAATTGATCACTCACTCCAGACATACTCCCACGGCATGAATACGGGGAAAGGGACAGCAGTGTTCACATGAAGACCTACCGTAACAGCTCAGAAGGTGCTGGCTTCTGGCACTGAACAGAAATGCAGGATCTCCCTCCCATCCATTCTAAAGAAATTTGTCTCTTGTGTGCTAAGAAGTTTTTCCCGTAGAAAAGCATCTTGCTGACAGCCAATAAAATTCTGTTTCTGTAAAAGCTGTCAGGAAAAGACCATTTCTCATACATATGGGCTCTTCCCACCTGATAACCATGCCATGATACCATTTGTTCTTTGGCACCGATAAAAAATATGGGCTTTATCTTTCCAGAGTGTTCTGTCAACGGAATGTTTTATCATCCGACCAAATTCACAAATGACGTGTCCTGATTGACTGCCCCCAGAGAATAAGCTGATTTTTCTCCTCTATCCTAATGACCTTTTCTCCATATAAAGAAACACAACACAAAAAGAAAATGAATGATAGAATGGAACTCACCACGTGGGTGAAGCTGCAACAAACAGTGGGTCAGGCACCCAAGAATCGTTATTGAGTCAAACATCTAGTGAAGCTGCTTTCCCAGATCTTTTAATGACTCCCCATTGAAAGGAAGATTTGGAGAAACTAAACAGAAATGGTTGCCTAAGGTCAGATTTTCAAACAAGCTGCCTTCTCAGAAAATAACTTGCTTGAAAAAAAGAGTGCATGAAACCTGGCAGCAACATGAGTTTGGCAGAACAAATGGGAATGACTGAATCCAACACAAGTCATTTCAGTACCTCTGTTTCCTTCTTGACAAGTGGCCAGCATTAAAAAATATCTTCTGCCTCATTCAGAGAGATATGGGAAAAGATTGGCATCTGAAAAACACACTTAGATATGTTACTGAAATATAAATTTCAAAGGAATTATCCAATCATTATCATACCGAGCCTGAATATACATATACATACACCCAGATCATCATAAAGATGCTGAGAATTGATGCCTTCTACCCGATTGACTGACTTGAGTATAGTAGTCATAAGAAGTTAAATCAGGGTAACATCCTGGGTCCTAAGCACGTTCTGTTTCCATTCTGATTTTATCTTAATACATCTTCATCACTCTTAGATTGGTACTCCATTGATTGTTGGGTTTGAAACATAATCTCTAACCAGTGAAATATGGCAGTAGGATTTACTTAAACTACTTAAGATCTCTCCATGATTTCCTGTACTTGTGATCCTTCTTCTTCTCCTTCTCCTTCTTCTCCTTCTTCTCCTTCTTCTCCTTCTTCTCCTTCTTCCTCTTCCTCTTCCCCTTCTTCTTCTTCTTCTTCTTCTTCTTCTTCTTCTTCTTCTTCTTCTTCTTTTTAACCACCTCAGTTACACAAGCAAAACCTAAAACCTCAGTAAACGTTTTATGTATACAGTTCTCCTGCTGAATACTCATTCACACAAAAACAACAGATACACATGCTCCCACTTACCCTTTTTCCTTATTCTTTCAGAATTCTAATTGGACATCAAAATATACATTGATTATAAAAGATTAAAAAATTATTTTATAACATTTCAAAGGCCTGAAAGGAACTATTACTGATAAAGCATCACTAGGTTTTTAGCAATAGAGATTACAAAAATCCCCTCACTCCTTTATATTTGGTTTTATCGAGCAGCACTATACTATTGCTGTCAAAACCCTTACGAGGAAAACCACTATGACAATAACTTCAAACACATACCTTTTCTCTCAGAAATATAATACTAAATTGATTGTTAAAGAAGAATCACATACTGTCAATTTTAGGAAGCATAAATAGTAATTTAAATATACAAAATATATGAGATAATTTCCTTTTTATCCATCCGTGGCAATATTTATATGTAACTAACAAGTTATTCTTAAAAGATATATAGGAATTTAACTTAAACTTTACCACCACATAAAATCGAAGCCACCCCATCCATCCCCTAGCCCCTGCATTTCCTGTTTCTTCCTTGAAACAAAATAAAATAAACAAGTGGTCATAATTCTTTGGTCATGGTGTCAGAATCAGTAAGAATGGATGTGATGGTCCTGCACAGAAGATTACGACCCAAAAATGTGGTGATAACTAGTTTGAAAAACTTAAGAAATTCTAATTCATTAATGGACCTAAATTTTGCAAAAGATTGGCGTTTAGTGTACTAAAATATGTAAACGTATCTGTTTGAATATTTATTTCTCATTTTTTAGGGGAAACAAACATACACGTGAAAAGTTACTTAAAAATAGTGATGGCAGTGGTTATAAAGCCACCGGTACCACTTTCTTGAAAGCAGTCGTGCTATTTAGCTTTCGATTCCTTGTTCCTTCCATTGTCACAGTGAACCCTGGTCTCCTCCAATCAGATCCATGATGCAAGGACACATGTCCTGAAAGTCATTTCTGAAGGAAATGTTTTCTGCTGGGATATCCAAATATATCCTAATAACTTTCTCTGGAGTCTGACTAACCATTGCTTAGTATAAACAAGACAATATTGAAGAGAAATTCTTACAAAGCCAATGTAGCAAAAATATTGGTGTTGATGTAATGTGGACATCCAAATTATGCATCACATTTGTATTCATTTCCCGTCAAACCCTTAAAAACTTACAAAGCAACAGATGTTCTTAACGAATATGATACTTGACTTCTACATTACTAGCACCAGGTCATATATTATGTGATTGAACATGATTTACAGCTGTGAGCTCTCATACAGAAGCCAAATGTGGACAGAAAAAAAAATAACATCTTAAATGCAAAAATTAATAATAAAAGGCATCAAGGGATTACATATAAAAGAGATAACAAACCAGTTAATACCGAAATTATATCATCTAGTAAAACTCTTGATATTTCTGTAATTTATATACGTATAATGTGTATTATTTCAGGTGTCACCCATAAACTAGTAAAATATTTACATCTTAATATCTTTTGGATTCAAAATAATCCGGGATAAATAAGTGTCTTAATTGCAAAGATACAATTAATATACATTTTATCAAGAACTTGCCATGAGTAGGCACAGCTTCCCGTGGGCTTTCCAGGGAAGCATTGGCATTCCATTCTGACAGAGAAGATATGTAACAGTTACTTATCACATGACTGCGTTGACCTCCCTCTTCGTGTAAAGTGATGTGGAGCTCCCGCCGTCCTGTGCACAGTTATATGGCAGTATCCCAGAACACCGTTTGCTGCTTAGAATAGGGTGGAGGGCTGTACTTCTTTGCCCCTGTGTTCTTCTTCCAGCTGGGCAGGATAGGCATGCTATCCTGTTTGCAAAGCCCCTTTTCCGATTTCTGTCTAGCTTTTATTTCCTTGCACAAGCAACGCTTTTTCTCAATCATCTCAAGCATTGTATGGTCTCCATGAAACCACGGCATGCATGCCACCTAGCAAAAAAGAAAGAGTGAATACAGAAGCAAAAAATGGAATGAAAGCAATTTCTTTTTTTTTTTTTTTTTGCACCGTGCTAGTAGTTGTTTCAAAAAATGTCAGCTGTTTATCTTTGTAATTCTTACAAAGTGAAATTAAAGTATGGGAACTATAAATAAATTTTGTACTTAGGTAAACTTTGTGACATATTCAAACAATTATTTGGGCAAGAATATTTTTCCAATATGTTTCAGGAGCTCACAATATGGAAACGACCCTTTCTTTTTTTAAAGCAATTTGCCTAGTATTTACCTATTACTTTTACGTTAACTCCATTGTCTTATAGGTCCCAGTGTATCTAAGTTCAATTACCGGAACTACTTTTCAGGAGATCTCAGATGAATGTGGTCAGTTTTGAAGAATTTAAAGACCATTTTTGTTCTTGAAATAAAACTTGGGTTTGTTTATAAAAAGCATATGAATTAAGGCTTTTCATAATTCTTCTACCAAAATGACTTTGCATGCATCTAATGCTTGGAATTTAAATGTTTAAATAATTTTTTGCAAAGAAATTCTTCTATATTTTTTGATACTTCAGCAAATTAAGTTAGAATCACTAGCTTCTGCCATCATACTGACCCAGGCCCCAATTAATTCCAGTATTTTAGAAAAACAGATTCATCAGGTCAATTATGTATCAGGAGATGATTCAGAGCTGATTATATACTGAAGTATATTTCTGGACAGATGAACACTGATCCTAGGTATATGTGATCATGTCCCCTAATAACTGTTCTTTAGAAGAGAACTATAGAGTTGAGTCTCACACAAGGACAGCAATGTGATTGGGCCATGAACCCAGCATGAGGAAGCTTCCATTTAATTGTCTAAGCAAATCTACTCTTCGACTTTAAGGGTTAAATAGCTCATTTGGAGTCTCTGAATTAGATGTTACAATTTTAGTATAAAAATCAGAGCAAATACTTAAATAACGTTTACTCTATACCAGATCCCATTCTAAGTACTTTGCATAGTTTATTAAACTCACAACGATGATGCTCTGAAATAAGTACTATTTATTAATGCAAAATGATGAGTTAAATGAGATTTAGAGAGATTTAGTAACTTGCTTAAGCTTACAGAGCCAGCAAATGGCAGAGTCAGGATTGGATCCCGACAATCATTTCTAACACTGTGCTTTTAACAACTATTCTGTACTGACTTTCAGTGTATATGTAGATGTGGAAAGGATTGAGAAGATAAATTAGTACAACACCCTCAATATATAGATGAGGAAGCTAAAACTTCAAGAAATTACATATGTTGCCCAAAGCCAGGCAAGTAAGTTTCTGGACTTGAACAAAGCAAGATTGACATTCTCATGATTCCTAATCCTTTATGGAGGGGGTCTAGAGCTAGAAGACAAGAATTCAAAACCTGGATGTGTCGAATTTCTCCCAGTCACTGCACTTCTTGGTTTCTTTATCTGAATAACTGAATTGGTAATATCTCAATTTCAGTAGTTGGTGTAAGGATTAAATTGGATGATGAAAGTGAAGTCATTTTTCAAAACACTAAACCACTGCCCAACTATTATTATTGTAATACTGACAAATACCTACGAGTTTTCAATACCTGCTCTCTGTCACACATGTGCAAAGAGCTCTGTATATGTTACATTAAATCCTCCCAGCCACCCTGAAAGCTTGGATGTATCTATATGGTACAAGTAGGAAAGCAGTCTCAGAAAGCTTAAGAAACTAGATCAAGGTCACAGCTTACTACATGTAATACAGACCTCTATCAAAGTCAGATCTGTCTGACTCCAAAGTGAATATTCTTTCTACTACATCTCCTGATTATTATCTAGAAATTATAGTAATAGTTATTGTCATAGATGCTACCATTTCCAGACAGTACTCAAGAAATCCAAATATATTTATGGCTTTATGAGAGAATAAATAGTGTGTATTAAATAAATCCAAATCAGTATTTTGGACTTGGAGTCCAGAAGATGGCACTCTTAGATTAATATTTTGTATGTGCCTAACTTGATATAAAGTTCCTTGAGAAAAATGAGCTGTGTTTTATGGCCACCAGTGTTTGGTTTTTAAATGAAATTCTAGATATTTGTTAAATTATTCAAAAAACCAATAGGCTTTTGTCCCAACAGAACATCGCCAAAGTGGCTCAGAAATTTTTCAAAAGATTTCTAATATTTTATAACTCGATAATCCATGCAATAAAAATACAGTAAGTCTATTTTGGTGGAAATACAAGCAAAATTTATTGAGTGACCATAAACTCTTAAAATGGATTTATAACATAGAATTCCCAGAGGGCAGGCCCCAAATTTTATCCACCAGCAGCCCCAACATGCAGAACAGAGTCATTAAGCTCTCGATATAAGTTTTATGAATGAATAGACGCCACCATCATTGAACAGTTTTTGTTAACTCTTAGAAAGCTCACCAGATCATTTTCTTTTAGTAAAATCTCACTGGATTTTACACATTCCAGCAAAATTGCAAAACCTCCAACCTTCTTTCAGGTAAGATATGTACAGCATCACTTTGATATTTGCATTGTATTTACTTTTCCACACAAATCTTTTATCATTTGTTACTTAATTTTCTTTACTATTTAAGAGTGAGAATCAGCACATGTCACTGCAAAATAATAATTCTCCTAGACTGCTCTAACAACAGTATCTCCAATATATTTCATAATACTCATTACATTTCTGGTATGTAAAACTGCATTACTATAAGTGTGTATTTTCTGACAATTAGAAGTTTGTACTATATAAATGTGTCAATTTAAGAATAATCCATTCTTTAAAAAAATCTAAAAAATAAAAGTTTAAGAATAAAGAGTTATAAAGTATGATTTCCATATTCTTTACATTTTTATTTTAAAATAATTAAATATCCACTTGATTGATATAATGGTTTAAATATTAATAGAAGAAAATCAACCTCTTTTTCAGAATGCTTATAATATTAAACTATTTCGGTGGTCAATACAAATTCTGTGAGAAAGCGTTAGTCAATACATGAATGATGGCTAGATAGTCTAAGAGAATTTAAATACAGGTTATTAGAAAATAGCCAATTCAAAAATTTTTAAATTTCAATATTTTAATAAATCTGTTGAAGAGTGCTATAGAGTCATCTCATATTAAGCTATTATTGAACCTTTTTTTCTCATTTAAGAAACCCAAGAAAGTTATTACTATATTAAGATGAGATAAATCCTTTTTGAAAGTGATTCATTTTTGGGGAAGACAAATCTACTTCCCATGTTTACTTTTATATAGCATGTGTTTTTCTTTTTTTTTTTTTTTAAGATTTTATTTATTCATGAGAGACAGAGAGAGAGAGAGGCAGAGGGAGAAGCAGGCTCCCAAGGAGCAGGGAGCCCGATGCGGAACTTGATCCCAGGACTCTGGGATCATGACCTGAGCAGAAGGCAGATCCTTAACTATCTGAGCCACCCAGGCGCCCTAGCATGTGTTTTTCAATATTTCTATCTGGAAGGTGCATGCTCTCTTTAATTCCCAGAATTAAACTCCAACGTTACCCACTATGGCCATTTACATGGCAGAATCTCTCCCCCTAAAACAAGTCTAAAAATTACATTTCACTCTGACAGTAAGATGCTTCAATTTATTACTTTGTACATAACAAATAAGATATTAAGCAATTATATGACGTGTGTTAAGAATACTACCCATAAAATATTTCATGACTTTGCTGCGTTTTTGTTTTGTTTTGTTTTATCACCAAATTCTTCAAAGTTTTTTTAAAATTTAGCTATAAAATTCCATTTCACCTCACCCCAGAGTTAAAAGAACTCTGGGATTTGATTTACAACAAGCATGCATTGGGAGACAATTGTAAGACAATTGTTCAATTGATATGAATACAGTTACATCTATTGGACAAGATTTTCATATTAACATGATTCAGCAGAGGTAATATTCTTTGCTAAAAGTTGATGAGGATAAAATCAAGTGAAGCTCTTCCTTAAGGTAAAACACAAATCCCCCATCCCTTATGTGCAGGCTCCACATAGTGACATCTTTCCAGAGAGTACAATATAGAAAGGGGGAGGAGAGTAACTTAACAGTGAATAGCCTGGCAAACACTACCTACACACACCAAGTGATGGACAGTGATTAAGCGATGTTGATCATACGGACCCTGGATACGATATTATGAGAAAGGCACACTGCCTCTGTGTTCCTCCTCCCCATACCCATAATATCAAACTAACCATGAGAAAAACACCAGACAAACCCAAATTGAGAAATACTCTACAAAATACCAGTGAAGAAATACTCAAAACTGTCAAGATCATCCAAAATATAAGGAAATTCTGAGAAACTATCACAGTCTAGTGAAGGCAAATGAGACATGGTAACTGAAATTAACTAATGTGGTATCCTGGAAGGGATCCTGAAACTAAGAAAATCCAAATAATGAATAGGCTTTAAAATTACTCTTTCAATATTGATTCATTGGTTGTGACAAATACAGTATGACAGTGTAAGATACTAACAAAAGGGGAAACTTGCTGTGGGGTATATAGGAACCCTCTGTGCCTTCTTTGCAGCCTCTCTGTAAATTTAAAACTATTCTAAAGTTCAAAAAATATATTTTCAAAAATCACCTGAAGAGACTACATTCTTTCCAAATGCTAATCGTAACTTATCTTTCACTCTTTAGATGGAAGCAACATGGTATAATGGAAAGAGTTCAGGACTTGATTGGGATCCTCATTGTTACGTGACACTGAAAAGTTATGTATGTCTTTGAACTTGTATGCACTTCCTCTATACATTGTATATATATTGGTACATAATTCATATACACATAGTATATACATTTGCATATACTTCATATATATTTATGTATATTGTATATACTTTATGTATACATTACGTGTATTGCTACATATGTCATACTTTACATGGTTGTAGGAGGCAGTGAACTAAATAATGCTGGCAATTGGA